CTATTGTCCTTCAAGGTTTTGAAAAGTAATATGCATCGATTTAGAAAATTGTAAATATCTCAAAAACGATCACCTCCCTCGTTGTTGAGGAAGTGTACCTTTTTTACTTGGAAAAAGTGTGTCAGTTAAGTTTTCTCATGAAAAGTACCAAAAGTTTACTGTCAAAAAAGTTAGGGCTATTTGAAATAAATAATGACAGCGTACGCAGGGCCATCTAGATTTTACATGAAAATCAATACGAAATTATAATTTTCCACGTCAAAAAAAACTGGGTACCGAATTTCGTGCAAATAACTTATTTTTTGCAAGAGTTATTTTCATAGAGCGAACAAGAAAATTCAATATCAACACCCCGTATCTCCGAAACGAAGCAGTTTCGGACACAAGTTCATATAGACCATTTTTCTTAAAATTGTCTCAGGAATACGTCACTCGAATATTTTAACGTACTTATGTTACACCCTGTATATAAATACCTCAAGATATACTTGTTATTCAAAAATAAAGTGAAGATGATGAATGAACTGTTATCATAATTCATTGAATTTTCAGCAAATCCTATAATTCAATGAATTTCAATACATAATAAACAACTCAAATTATTACACAATGAAAACATACCCAGTAGAGTCTGCAGAAGGGAACTTTTACCACTTCCGACCGGACCAATAACACCGGTCAATTTTCCTTTCCGTACTTTCAAATTGATATTCTTCAAAACGGGATTACTAGATGATTTATCCCAACTTGCAGTGATTTCATTCAAAGTAACGCTATAGGCGGTGTCGTCATCATGTACATTGTATTTGGTTTCTTCTCGTAGAGCGAAGTCATATTCTTCATTGTTGAGGAAATCTTGTATCCTTCGAATGGAAACGAGCAGTTCTGCGATAGCTGACAGACCTCTGGCAAACACTCCAGCTAATGTTTGTGCCAGAATTTGAAAGTAGGACATGAATACGTACACCTGTGATACAAAAGGGTCATTAATCACCAACTGTAAATTATTTCCTTGATTCTTTTGACGTTTACTTATTGTAACTTCGAGGGCCCGTAACTTGGTTACGAAGACTTTTAGGAAAAAAAGTTATATGAAGTACTGGTGATATTTTGTCCCCATCTATACATTCCCGAAAGGAAAAGAGGAAGTCCAGGGACACCCTGTATATAAGGAAATTGCATATGATTAGATTAAAAAAAAAAAGTATAAAAGGGCTGCTGGTTACTCTCTGCCCTTATGACGTAAGTGAATTTTTTCATTGCAAGGTTTAATGCTTTGCCTTCTAATGTGTATGTTTTGTAGTATATTTATCTACCTTTATGATGCTAAATCTGTTGTATTGATAATAAGAAAATAAATTGATTGATTGAATCAAATAGAGATGAAGAGCTGAAAGATATAATCGTTTTAGGACCTGTTGAAAATAATCCCAAAACGTCAACGCAGAATATTAAAAATATCAACAGGCCTACCAAGAACTAATGTTAGGAGGATTTTGAAAAAACACAAATTCAAGTCATACAGGACCAGAAAAATTAATCAACTTAGACCAGGAGACTTTGAACGCCACATGGCTTTTTCTCAGTGGTTCCTGGGAAGTTGTAAAATATATTTAGACACACGAAGCTCGTTTAAGCAGTGCCGGCATTTTCAACCGCTACAATTCTTATACTTGGGCACAACAAAATCCTCATTCTATTGTGGAGCAGAGAAGTCAAGAAAGATTTGGATTTAGTGTGTGGACATGTGTTTTCAGGGGTAGAATTATCAGCCTGTTCATTTATAATGGCACTTTCACATCTCAGAAGTGTTCAGAAAAGCAAAATATTTATTCCCTTCTTGATGAATGGCCAATAATGGAGCTCAGAAAAAAATATTCTGAATAAGACGGGGCTTGTCCCCACAACACTGCAATTGTCACCAATTTTTTGGCTCAAATTTTGGTTGTCATTGGATTGCTAACCAAGAACCTAATCGTTGACCGGCCAGGTCACCGGACCTAATGCCTATGAACTATTACCACTGGGAAAAGTTGTAAAGTCTTATTTTCAAATTGCCGACCAATTCTAGGTATGAATTGGAAGCGGTAGTGATGCAAAGTTTTGCTTCACTCCTATTGCACTAATTATTTCGGAAAAAACGTTCAGAAAACAGCCCGGTTTCGGGCTGTTTGCCACTCGTCAGTGCAAGGTAGTGTATATCATCAACATAAAGTCGATGATTTCGCATAATTATAAATCGAATTCCTCCAGAGTATCATTCCTCGAACTATGCTGAAGCAGACAATAAACAACATGTTTGTCTTCGCCCCATCTGCTTGTGAACGGGGTAACCAACAGCTTATTTGAAATTTGCCTAATTCCTCGTATAAGGAAAGGAAACTTCTCACATATAGTCAGTGGGCATCTACAGTTTAGGGAGTTGGGACTGGCCAGAACGAATGGTTCTTTTAGATAATGGGTTTGTTTTATGCTATGGAAAAAGATACTGGTTTGCTTATAGACTGATCGAGTTAGGGGTATATTACACTTATCAAGCCTAATCGGTCCCAAAATCTCTTTATATTTGCAGAAAAAAGAATAATTCGGAAAGCAAGAATTCAAATTGGCCGCGTGTCTATTGACCAATAAAATTGATCGTGTCTAGTGCGGAGTTGCCAGGTGTATTGGTTTTTAATATCCAATCACAGATCTGATGGATCAATTTGACAGACGCCATTTTTGTTGTTATTTTGTCAACTCGGTGTGAATACAACTGTTACAATTATATAATTACAGAACGTTTTTTTTTTTGTAAAGATAGGTCTCGGCAGAAAATCATAGTTTAGGTAAATATTTTGTGATCTATCGACTTTGTGTACTAATTTTAGATATAGAACTTATTTTCAAACATGATTTTTCGTGTACATTTTATTCCATGTGGAGAATTTTTCATCAATTGAAACGTTAACGGGTTCATATACACTTCCATAATTAAATTGATAATAATAGGTTTCGTGAATTTTACGATTTGGCAATGTTGATTATTTCTATTGTTTCTATTGGTCAATCGAACAAGAAGCGGGAATAGGGGCGTGACGTCACCACCCTACCACATTCGATTTTTAATAATTAATTACGGGAAAACTACGGTACTCAGAGAGATGAAACAAAGTGCACTGTTTTTCAATTTAAAATTGCTATCAAGTGCAATATAAACCAAATATCAACCAAAATACCTTTTTAACTCATAGCCAGTCTTCAAGTGTGCCCATTGACTATATGTGCGAATTATTCATATTCAAAAACCTGCTGTCCAAGAACTGAGATAGTAATTGTTTTTAAGATTATACTTGTTATCTCATTTACCATTAACCAATCAAGTGACCACTACTGTTGTAAGTAGTGGTACTAGTATGTAAGTTCTTATTTCACTGCCCGAATAGTTCAGTTATTTGTTTTCTTACCTCATTTAAAATGGCGATGTTATCAGCATTTTTCAACCAGTGTACTTGATGAGTAACCAATATCCTAGTTTTGTGAGCCAAAAATCCATTTATGCATTGCTCGTACAGTATTTTAGCAACATGTATGTCAACTGCTGATAGCGGATCATCCAATAAATAAATATCTCTATCCCTATATACAGCTCTGGCCAAATTAACCCTAGCTTTTTGCCCTCCACTCAAAGATGCTCCTTTATCGCCTATAATCGTGTCGTCTCTGTTGAGGAATTTATCGAAATCTTTCTCTAAATCGCAAACGCGTATAACCTCTTTGTAGCGACTCTGGTTGTATTCGGCACCGAACAAAATATTTTGGCGGATAGTACCAGAGAATACCCAAGGCTCTTGTGACGAGTAGGACGTTGTTCCAAATATTTTCATGTTTCCACTAGTAACAGTGAGTTCTCCTGGAAATTAAGAAAAAATGAATATTGTCCCATAATAAAAATAATTTCTCCTTACCTACTAGGCTATTTGTTAAATTATGAAAATTGATAAATTGTATGACGAAAATCATAATCAATTAGTTTTTCATTATAATTCGTCACTCAATGACTATGCGACAACATTGATGAGACCAATTTCATGAATTTGTATCAACGAAAACAGCAGAAAAGTATTTCTGTTGGAGTTTTACTACCAAAACCAGCTTGAAAAATGAAAACGGAAGCACAAAATTCCTAAAAATTCAAACAGTAATTAGGAAATTAATAGAAAAATTTCAGACATTTCAGAATGAATTTTTATGGGGCACTGAATATTTGAATTCAAACACATTCATGGGGCAGCAATAATCGTTCGAAAAATATATTTTTCATTATCAAGGAGGGGAAAACCCCTGTTGAGCCAGCAAAATAATTTATGATTTCCAATTTTCAGACANCACTTTCAAACAAACAGTTTTTAATAGTTTGGTTCTCGAGAGGAACAGCAAATTCGGAGTGTGTCTTCTAGGTGAGCGTCTGTTAATCTCGAACGATATTTGTTTAAAAGAAAATTCTTTGAGAAAGATGTTTCACCATATGTATGTCGAGCCATAGTAGCCAAATTGATAGCTAGTCTTTTACAATTTTCATATTTTTCTGGGACATGTTTGGCACAAAAATCTTCAGTGGATACCGTTCTATACATTTGCAAGGAAACATCTTCTTGCAAATCAATTATCTCCATTTGAAGTGATGGCTTTGACAGATTTAACAACTTGGCAGACATATCTGTCCATTTTGCCGCTGCATCAATTTCAAATGGAGATTTAAGAAACGGAGATAGCTTGCCAATCTCTGCAAAGTCTTGGAATCTTGTAGCAAATTCGTTCTTAAGATCGGCCAGAAATTTTGCAAACTCTGCAATGTTTTCTTCAGAGATCTCCTTTTTTAATTCGAAAATTGTCGGAAAATGAATAAATTTTTGTTTAACGATATCATTTTCAAAGATATCCAGCCTACGACGAAAAGTAGACACGCTTTGTATCAGATAACATATTGATTTTCTATTTCCTTGTAACTCTGTATTGAGCGAATTCAAATATTTTAAAATATCTTTCAGAAAAGCCACAATCAGCATATTGCGCTCATTTTTTATAAACTGGTTCTCTGCGTATCCAAATTTTTCAAGAAGCAGGATACTTGTTTTTTTATTAGCCAGAAACAGTCAATAACTTGACCTTCACTTAGCCAACGAACATTGTTGTGTTGCAGTAAGTCAAAAAACGCCAAATGACATTCAGAAAGATGAAATAATAATAATAATAATACATTTATTACCCATCAAAGGAAAAAACAGAAGAATATACAGTAGTGGTGGTGCTATTAATTGACATTCTGATGAATAAATGGCTGGACTTATTGGTTCAGATAACAGTTGAAAACCGTTTCTGTTCTTCCACCAATGCCAAAGAGATATTTACAGTTTTAACAGATAGCAATACATTAACGAAACTAAATGAGTAAAGATAAGTAAATAAAGAGAAGGAGAGGAAATGAAAGCATAAGAAGGTAAGGGTTAGAGAGAGAGAGAGCAAAGCAATTTTTGAGAAATTCACTGAATACCTAGTAGGTAGTTTTTGAATTTGGATTTGAATACAAACGGCGATAGTTCTAGGTATGATCCATCCAGTTTATGCAAATTATTTATGCAGACTGCCATATTGTAGGAAAAGGACCGTTTGTATATTTCTTTACAGTGTGATGGTATAGTAAGAATGGNTGAATCGATGAAATATTTGTTCATGTCATTTACATTATTTAAAGAGTCCGGAGTCCTTCTTATCACGCATAGTTATATTCAACTTCATTCCATTTTTCTTTCGGAGTACAATTTCTGAATTTGAAATTAAGATGAGCTTTTTTTTCGGTGCTGAAGAGCGGAATGGGATCTTATAAAATTAATTAACTTGACCAAGTTGTCCATCACTTCTTTAAGTGTAGCACTAAGTTTTCTTCAAAGAGCTGCCTGGTGAATTATGCACTGATACGATATTAGATCTGAATCATCGATGGCTTCGAATAAGTCGTCTCCTCCAGTGTTACCTTTCAACGGCAATATTGCTAGCAAATCTTCCCTAAAAATCTGACACTCAATGTCAAAAAATCTTAGGAAAATTGACATTTGTTCACCATCAGCAATGTCACATTATGATTCATCAAGTGCTATAGCGTAGCAAGATGATTTTTGCATAAGTTCAAGAATAGTATTTTTAATGTCGGCTGCTAAAATTTCAGTTCTTCGTGTATTACTTCTCGTTGACAATGGAATACTTTGAATGGGCTCATTTAACAAAATGTTTTTATTTCATAATTTGAAAGTTTATGTTTCAAATAGTAGATCTGCAAAAAATCTGAATTTTCACTCTTCATCTTCCCCCTCAAATTAATAATTGAATGTGGCGTTCACCGAAACGGGGCGTGGTCAAGCTTGACGTCACATCAGTCGACTCGGCGACAAGGAAATACTGGCGGATAAGCGAAATAATAATAATAATGTGTCTTACAGGGATAAGCCAATGCATGGAGTCTTCTTCAATAACACTTGCTATCAGCATGTCCAGCATATGCGGTCTCGGCCTATATCCATCGACATAACGCGGCCCTAAGAGTGCTATATTACCATCTACGG